GCTTTCAATATTGCCACTAAGGCTGCCTTTCTAATCTATAAATGTAAACATGTTATCATTAATCTGCTTATAACCCTAACAGCTCCCCACATAAGAAAGTAAAGCAGGCCTCTTCGTGTATTCAAGGGCCTTTATGATTTGTGTCCTATTTTGCCATTCTTACTTCTCATTGTTTCCTCTATTCTCCTCACCAAAGACATTATGTGCACCCCAAATAAAGTCTCTGAACACTCAAAGACCTTCCACATCTCCCTACCTTTAAATACGCTCTCCTCTCTGCCACTCCTCCCTCCTCAGCCACCCACTGAGAACATTTTATTCATCCTCCAAATTGAGTTCACCCCAAATTACACTATACCCAACTGAGCTAAGTAACTCAGCCAAGGCCCAAATTCTTTTTTAAACATGTAATGATGGTATTATTATTTTAAAAATCCCCGTCTTTGAGAAATACTTATGAATGAAATAATATGTGGGATTTGCTTCAAAATACAGGAGGAAAATGAATAGGAGGAGATATGAAATAAATTTCGTTATATCTTCAACCAAGCTCCCACAGAACTTTGGTTTACATTTCATAGCATTTAGCTAACTCACTCAAATATACCAAAAATTTCCCACTATTTCCTCAGTGCTTCCAAAATATTTTGTATATTCAGTTACATAGCTTTTCACACTCAATGTAAATTACCTGTTTCTATTTGTTTTCTCTCCGTGACTGAACTTTTAAAAAGCCAGAGACTTTCACTGTTTATCTCTAACAGCTAGCAAGGTTCCTAGCTTACCATGGCTGACTAATAAATGCTTTTGAATAAAGACGTAAGAAAACCAAACATTGGCAAGAGTAAAAATAATAGTTTAGATATGATTCCTTTTTCTCATATAAACATAACATTTTTTTTAGGAAGAAAAACAATAAAATAGGATGTGGGTGGCTTCTGCTATAATGAGTAAGAAAATGTTTACAGCCACCCTAAATTACTTCCTAAATTATTGAAACTGAGTATTCAATATTATAAATTTTAGTAATCACTGAAATTCTATTTGCCTCCTCCATCCAATAATCACTATTTATCCCAAACTCTACTGCTTTGTAGTATTAACTTTATACACATACACAAACATACACACCCACACATGAATAAAGGCAATTATGACAGTGGAGTAGACACTTTGTTTTTTCTTTCTAATTTTTTTCCTTGTTTTTTTTTTTTGTTTTCTTTTTTTATTATTGGAGTAGACACTTTGGAATCACACATATATGGTTTCAAATCTTCACCCTAATGCTAGCGGGATGTGTAACATTAGACAAGTTACTTAAACTGAGCCTCAGTTACCCAATCTGTAAAATGGTAATTACACCAACATTACAGGATTGTTGTAAGAAATAAGTCTGGCACACAGATACTATTTATTAAAGGCGTACTATTACCTATTTTTATTATTACCAACTTGTTACAAATCTTCAACTAAACTTTCTTGGGATAAAAAAGCTTCAGTTTAAAAAATGTTTTTTAATTGTCCATACTGACTTGATGACAATCAAATTGACTTGTAACAATTCTAAATGTTTTTTCCCTGAAAAGGGTGCTTTATTAACAACAAACCTCACCAAACACAATTATGTCTTCTGATAGAAATGCCAACTGACTCAAGGGTCGTCAGAGGATGGGTCTGATGAGTCTGAAAGCACCCTGCACGCATTAGCACCTGAGCTCTTCCTCTGAAATATTCATTCAAATGGACTTAAAGATTATATATATATATATGCGCGCCACCAGACCAAAAGTTTAATAAGCATTAGTTAAGAACTAATGAATCTAATGATTAACATTCAGCCTTTACAAAAGCAGTTCTATATTGTAGAAAATAGTGTTATGAATACAATTTTATCCTAATGAAAAAGTCACTGGCCTTAGAATATAAACACAACTAAATGGCAAGAACACAGCTATATTACTGTCATCAAGGAGTTTTATTAAAGTTATGGTCTGTACAAAGTAAAATTTCCAATTTTATAATTAACATATTAAAAATGGTGGCATGCTTTCACTTAACCAAACTATTTTAAAGGTTTCTAAGCTTAAATTATTTGCTATAATTTTTGTTGTTTTTAAAAAACTTTAAAACTGAAAGCAATATTTTATTAAAATGTGTATTAGAAATGAAGCATCACATTGGTTTATATTAGAATAGAGGCTCTCTGGCCGAGGCTTTTACCAGAAGGTTACCCCACACCTAGAGGCACAGTAGTTGTTTCTTTTGATGTTACTATAAAAGGTAGGCATACATACCCAAGTACCCTTGTCTTCCATAAGAATACATTATGTTGCCACCACTTATTAATCTTGCTAATCCTTTAAAAAACTGAATCATGCATTTTTGCCTAGACTTTAAATTTTAGACTTTAATATTTAGGGTAATAAATTTCACAAATTCACTACCCACTCCTGACAGCATGAAACTAGTGTAAGGACAGACATTTAGATCTGTGGAATAAAATTCAGAGTTCAGAAACCCCCCCCCCCTCATTTATAGTCAACTATTTTCAATAAAGGTGCCAAGAACCTTCAACAGGTAAAGAATAGTCCTTTCAACAAAAAGTCCTGAGACAACTGAATATCCATGTGCCAAAGAGTGAAGTCAGCCCTGGCCGGGGAGCTCAGTTAGTCAGAGCATTGTCCCAATACACTAAGGTTGCACATTCGATCCCCAGCCAGGGCACATACAAGAAGCAACCAATAAATGCATAAATAAGGTAGAACAACAAATCAATCTCTCTCTCTCTCTCAACAAATCAATGTTTCTACTTCTCTCTCTAATCAATCAATAAATTTTTTTTTAAAAAGTGAGGTTAGCTCCTGACCTCACACCATATACAAAGATAAACTCAATGGATCAAAGGTCTAAATGTAAGAGCTAAAGCAATAAAACCTTAGATTAAGCAACAATTTCTTAGTATGACACCAAAAGCACAAGCAACAAAAAAAATTAAGGTAAATTGGACAACATCCAAAATTTAAAACTTTTATACACTACAACAGCAGTTTGTGCCCTTCTGTTATTTTTTCAGGAATGTTAAAATCTATATAAATTAGCAGAAATCTAGGGCCCTCCACCCAACATCTACATATCCTTCTATATTAGCAGGTGAATTTGCTGCATAGAAAATAGCCCCCTACATTCAAATAGTCCTTTTACTTTCTGTCCCTAGCTCTCTAATTTCCTCCTCTCAGGTGATAGCATGACCAGGTTCCCCATTTCCCAAGGTAGAAACCTCGGGGTCCTTCTTGAATTCTTTCTCCCTCACTACTCACCCCTACTCTGTCACTAAATCTCATCCACTTTACTTCCTAATTAATCTCTCTTCAACCCAGCTCCCTTTCTCTGTCCCCATTACTGTGAAGGTACTTAGGATCTTCTCTATTTCCTACATGAACCATTTGAACTATTCTCTACCACCCATCTCTCCTTCACCCGTTCTTATTTCCTATTACCACCAGGATTATCTTCCTAAAATAAATTCAAACTTGAAACAGGGTACCATACTTTCCCCTGTCAAATTGGCAAAAACTAAAAAGGAAAATAATACCTTGTGTTGATCAGAATGTAGGGAAATGGACATTCTCATAAACTTGGTAGGGAAAGTTATAGTGAGCAAAATACTGAGGCAATATAACCAGATTTATAAATGTGTATACCCTTTGATCCAGCAATTCTATTTCTAGAAATTTATTCTAAGGAATTAAACGGAAAGTGCACAAAGATATACAAGTACATCGTAAACTTCCCGTCATTCCCAGCAAAGGCCAGGACCTTTTTACATACTACACCATTTGCCTAGAATGTCTCCCTCCCACTCATGTCTTTCTTCATCTTGTAAAACTAGAACTCGTCCTTGAGTTTAAAGGTCAGCAACTCATCCAGTCTCCACAGCAATTTAGTCAAATTTCTGCATCACAGTGCAACCTATCATTCTCTCCCATAGTAGACTATAATCTCTCCAAGGAAAATGGTTTTATGTATTTTTTATGTAGCACATATCCATACCTGTACTACTTACAACGTCTGACATACAGTAGGGGCCCAATAAACATGTTGAATGATGGTGTTTTCTTCTTTACACAAAGAATTCTGTGATTTCTAAAATCTTACGAACTTTTAAAAGGTATTTCCTAAAATGCTGGACTCCAATTCTATTAAATTCCTGTATTATATTAGGTATTCAAGCAAAGAAAGTCTTGTGAATTTATATAAGCAAAGTCAGTGGGTCTTCATTTGTTTGATGTTTAGTTCTTAAAGACCTAAGAATTTCCATACTGGGTCAGAACTGTGGTCTATCCAAACTGAGGACTTTATGTCTGAAAATGGTACCAAGGAATACATGTAAGAAGACACAGCTATCCTTCCAGACGTTAAGTTAAACACTTAGAGATATGTCCAAGAAACCTTACTTTTCTCCAATAACCTAAGATGAGTCCATCATACTTGAAATCATGTTTTAGAATCACTTATATGTCAGTGCTGTGCCAGGGCTCTTCTCCATGCTATCTGTTGTACAGTATTTTACATAAGCGCATAAGTATTACATAAGTAGTACATGAACATACAAGAACGTAAGTAGTTTGGCTATACATTTTTTCCAATTTGAACTCCTTTTACGTTCCAATAGGGTTTCTATCCTAATAAAGGCTGGTAACAGCCTGATCACATCCTTCATGATTTCACAAAGTTCAGTTCTATTCCTTTCCGTCTTTGTCTTTCTAGACTGAAGAAATCTCATCTTTCTATTGCGTCCTTATAGAGAAATGACTCTTTATTCTGTACAACTTTGCTTTTCTTAATTGTGAGTTATCTTATAGGCTCCAAGCTGAAACAACAACGTAGGAATGTCTATGAAATTTACTTTTATAGAAGTCAAGAAAATTTCACCCCTGATGTAAGCTAGGAAAGAGAGCCTTCAAAAATACCTTTGGCAATCACTGTACCCCAAGACTTACAGGAAATCATAAGGTAGTCCTCACAGTTGCTCTTGTCATCATCTTGCTGGTCCACAGGGATCCCGTTGGCATCTATGACTGCTTCAGAGGCACAATCTGCTACCAGTACTTCTTCTGAAACTACGTCAGTTGTCAGGGGATCAGTGACGATTTCTGCCTCAACTACACTATCATGAACCACGTGCTCAACGTGTCCAACATCAGACACATGTATAGAGTCACTTGTCAAGACATGTTCTGGTATAGACATTGATGCTGAAGTAATATCGGAAGCTAAAACATCATCTGGGACTGTGCAATGTTCTAAAGAAACTTCTTCAGTTACATCTGAGTCCAGCACTTGCTCAGGAATGATGACCGTTTCAGATACATCTGCTTCTTCCATGATATCTGGGCACTGAACATCTTCTATAACAACGTCCTCGATAACATCTTGGATTACAACCGAGTCTGGGTCATCAGGAACAAAGTTATGCACAGTTATGTCTGAATCCACAACATCTGAAACAAAAACGGTTTCTTGCACTTCCACAACAATTTGATCACCATCCATGTGTGCTGTATCAGCTCCTTTAAAAAAAAAAAATTAAAATCACAATTCCAGGTAGGCATGCATGACTACATCAATTAACATAAACGCTATTTACTTTCTACCAGGAAAACAGACAAGCTTCTCAGTTTTCTCAAACATTCAGTTAAAGAAATAAAGAGGGAATCTATTTTGAATCATACCAGAAATGAAAGTTTTAATACAAGAACTTTTAAACTCATCCCAGATCAATTAACAGATAAGGAAACAGGAAAACCAAGCAACTGAGGTAGTCACAAAAGAAAAATATTCATGAAAGTAAAATCCTAGGTTCACTAAAATCAAACCCATAAGCATAGTTACTTAAGGGACTATTATAAAAATTTGTAAGTAAAGCAAGTTCAGGTGACAAATATACCATTTTCCTTCATTATATGTTTTTCATTTCTCTTTCATCTTGCTCCATCTCTCTCTCCTCAACTCATACTTTTTCTTCTTTCCATCTCCCCCATGTATTTATTTCCTTTCCATTTTTCTCCTCTCCCCGCTCTTTGTTCTGGTACAATATCCCATGAATATCCTCCATTTATGACTATGGAAATTTAGATATTATCCTCTGAATCTAGGATATAAAAGGATTGGGGCATAAATAGAAGAGGGCTGGAAGGCCACAGTTAGAGAGGAAAGCCAACTGAGAGCCTCTGTGGACAGATAAGATGAATAAAAGTGCAGCTGCTCTGAAGCAATGGAAGGCGATGTTAGTTGGAGCAGGGTCTGCCCCAACTTCACCAGAGTATCTGCTTCCACCCAGCCTTCTTGCATCGCCTCATAACCCAATGCCCCAGGCAGTTCCTCAGAGTATAAGCAACCCTACCCTAGTCCACTCTGCAGATAAGAATGAAGGTAGAGGGTTGAATCAATTAAAGCCCAGTGAGATTAAATGACTTCACCAAGATCACACAGTTTGTACAGATTATGGTACAGAGTAAATATTACTCTGAATAAATGCCACAAATGGGGCTCCAAATCAGCTATCTTTGCCAAAAAACGTAAGACAAAATAAAACAAATCTGGTATCTTGGCTCCTGGTCCAGAGAAAAGCAAACAAAGTTTTATAAAAATCTTACCTAAAAACCAATTCACTCAATTAGTGTTTCTGGATGTGACCCGGACCAGGGTGAGTCTAAGCAGCTGCCTAACTCAATGACTGTTTATCACTGGCCAGGCCCTCAGAGGGACACGTGGCTTTGTTTAATGAATACAAATGCTAACCAAAGGCCAAAGAATCACTAAAAATGTAGGGAATCTTAAAGCCAATTAGTATCTATTTCATGTCTATATCTATGTTTATAAATAATAAAAAGTATGATTGCTTTAATTTCTATAGAACTTCTACTAAATGCTTTATACTTTTGCTTTTGTTTTCAATATTCTTAATACTAACACCAAGCAACAGAACACTATGATCTCCATTTTGCAGATATAAAGATGAAAAGCATTTAGTGGCAAGAGATATAGTTAAAAAATCTAAACCAGAGAACAGGGTTTGGACACATTAGTTTTGTGACATTGGGCAAGTCATTTAACCTCTGAGTTTCGGGTTCCTCATCAGTAAAATGAGGACAGTAGTTTCTGCCATGCATACCTCACAGGACTGTTGTGATGATCAAATGGGAAATGTATAGGAAGTGTTCTGAAAAACTGTAATGAGAGGTTTCATTATTATTAGGACAAATGAAAATGGAGGCCCTGGAAGATTAAGTGACTTGCTCAAAGATAAACACCATAGGTGTTAACAATCAGGGCTAAAATGAAACAGCCCTTCAATCTAACACTTAGCCCATAACCCTGGCTTGCTTGTGGCTCGATTAAGCTAGCAAATACTGTACATTTTTCCTCAAAGAGCTTCACCTATCTTTCAAGCACATTAATTATACTTCATGTTCTAATGAAGAATTATTATAATTTTGCACTTATCATCAAAAGGAAATTCCCAAACTTGAGTCGAAAAGCTAGCTCAAATCGTTAAGAAAAATATACATACCACCCCCCTACATATACATTGGATTTCAAGATTTTAAAAAAAGTTAAAATTAAAAACCACTAATATTTAATTTCCTGATATAGTTACTTGCTACATCTTTAATATACTGCAATATGATCATTTTAAGTCCAATGGAAAACTCATTAATATTTTATTTATAAGAGTAGCTAGCTAGTGTGATATAAAACTATCTTATACCATAAAACCTAGCCTATACTTTACAATGTTACATAATTGGAAACATGGATAATCTAAAGCTGTGAATAGTTTTTTTTCTATTTTTATAACTTCATGAATTTAATTTTCCTGTACAGTTTGGGGGTGAGATAAGACTATTTTCCTGAAGCAAAAGGCTCCTCTTGTCAACCTGAGAAAGAGACAGGGTTGTAAAAGCAGGAGGGGGTCAGAATGTAGATGGCCTTAGATTTATATTTTACCTACTAGGTAACAGAAAACAGAAATGACATGATCCACATGTTACTTTACAACAAGTACTCCAGTTGGTGGGCTATATAAAAGAGACTAAGGATAATGAAAATAATTTAAAAGTTATTGCAGACTAGGAATGAGCTGATAGAGCCTGTCTATGTAGTAGGAAGTAGATGTAAGGAAGGAACGTTTCAAAGAAAGAACTAACAAGACTTAGTTCTATAACTAGGCAAGATGAGAATAACTGAAGATATAACACAGAGGTTTTGATACTGCTGCTGTTACTGACAAGAATTCAGAGTCGGTTGTGAGGGAGCCAAATTTTTAAGGAGGGGAACAGTGTGCCCACTTTAACATTTGCAGGCTTGACAAGGTAACAAGATACCTAAGAGTGAATATCAATGTGAGAGTCTACCAATTTGTCCACTTGATAACCAACTCCAAATCTGGTAGTTGGAAAATGGAACAACCCAAGTAGTTATACCTGTTGCACCAAAAAATGAGTTTGATTCTTGTGGCTGTAATTCAAGTCCATCTTCATCCATGGCCTTTAATTTTCATCAGTCAGAGCTCCTAAATTAGGAAAAAAGTAAACAAAGTCTTACTTTTTTTGTTTCATGTATTTAAAATGTCACATAATTTCAAAACGCTATCTAAAATAAAATGGAACTTAATTGATTTCCAATGATATATGAGCATCTATATGGCAAGGAAAGGCAGATAAATCAAACAAGTCAGCTTTGCCTACCAGGGTGTCCAACCTTTTGGCATCTCTGGGCCACACTGGAAGAAGAGTTGTCTTGGGCCACACGTTAAATACATTGCAACACATAATCACAAACAAATCTCATCATGTTTTAACTAAATTTACGATTTTGTGTTGGGCCACATTCACAGCCATCCTGGACTGCATGTGGTCCATGGGCTGCGGGCTGGACGCCCCTGGTAGACGTTTTGTTTAACTGAGATAGTGCTTGCATACATTAAGTGCACGCATCTTGATGAATTCTGACACATGCATAAACCTGTGTAATCATTACACTACCTAGATCAAGATACAGAACATTTCCAGCACCCACCACTCGTCTCCTCTCAGTGCACATACCCCACGCTCCCGCAAAGTTAACTTGTTTTATCATGATCCAACTTAAACACACTCTATACTGGGGGTAAACTGCTGCCCGGCTTTCATATTACTTCTCTAAATTTAATGTAGTCTTCTTTCAACCAATACATTAAACATCAGTAAAAATTCAAAGTGCACAGTAACAGTAAACACCCTTTGGGATAACTGTCTAACTTATAATGATATCTCTTAACTAACTCTCCAATCTAAAGAAGTAAATTCCCATAGCATATTTACACTCTCCTGGCCATGTAGTTGATTGGCATCAGTTATAACATAAGTTCATCTTTGAGCACAATAAAATCAAAGTCCTGCCTCTGAGAACTGAAACCATGAGCAAGGGTCACTCAGTCTCTCCCCTGGTGGCTGGAATATAGGAGCTGAGGAAGGCCATTTTCCAACTTCGGCTTCGACCAGTGAGATCAAGTTTACACATTAAAAATAAAAAGAATCCAGTGAGTGCCCTGAGAAATAGAGTAAAGGGAGCAGGGAAGGGAGGCTTACTAATAGTTTTTTAGCTCCTGGTTCTAGACTTTTCTGAGGTCCAGCTACAGAACCTTATCTGCCTTCAGTCTTTGTAAGACATTCCAATGTCTTAAAGCTCCCTTTTCTACTTAAGCCAAAAACTTACAACAAAAAGAACTTAGATCATAAAATAATATACTACTTAATACTAATGACTTTCAAAAGAGCAGACATCAAGGATTGTGGTTTATTCATGTTATAAGTATTGCATAAACCTCCTCCCTCATTGGTTTCCTTATCTTTTTCACTTTTTAATCCAACCTAAATGGTACTATTAGACACATCTTTCTTTCACCTTTATCATTTTTGTTGATGATGTAAGCACTGCATGCTTCTTACTAATCTTTCAAATAACAAAAGCTGTTTTTTCTAATGCATCAGCTAGGTGATATCATATCTGTTTAAAAATGTTTAATGGCTCCCTGCTGCCTCCAAATAAAGTTCAAACTCCTGCTATCTTCTAAGTGCAGGCCCCAAACTATCTTTCCATCATCTCCCCTAACTTTCTTTCAAGCACCTTCTTCCACCACCACATGACATACTTCAGCCAAACAAAATTGCCCAATGCCCCCATAAGACCTCAAATCTGTATTTGGCTCAGGTTTTCTTCTACCTGGAACACCTCTCCCCTATCATGCTGCTTCAACCTTTCCCCAAAATCCTATTCCCCACCAGAAAGAAAAAGCTGAAAATCTCTCTCTCCCTCCTCTGAATTTCCACAGCAATTTATCCTTTTTCCTTTTTTATGATTGTACCTGTTCACATAAATCATGGTTATTTATACATGCTTATTTTCAGATGCTACACATATGTTTTTGTGTGTATATATATTCCTTAAAGAAATATCCACAAGAAACTCAATTAACATTAATAAATTGATTTTTCTTTTTTTCCCAAGATTTTATTTATTTACTTTTAGAGAGGGGAAGGGAGGAGAAAGAGGGAGAGAAACATCAATGTGTGGTTGCCTCTTGTGTACCTGCTACTGGGGACCTGGCCTGCAACCCAGGCATGTGCCCTGGCTGGGAATTGAACCGGCAACCCTTTGGTTTGCAGGCCAGTGCTCAATCCACTGAGTCACACCAGCCAGGGTAATACATGGATTTTCAACATGTCAACTCTGAGACATGTTCTGTTCATTTTCAAGAGCACGTTGCATGTTATTTATTCAAACAGCTTCAAATTAAAAGGATCAATAAAGGAAAAAAATTTAACTATGAAAAATGAAAAGGGTACATGAGTAACTTGTCACTGCTCTCTCCCCACCAAAATCACCTCTGGCCATAATTCTTTTTCACCTTTAAAAAATGTAATTACAAAATGATAGACGTGAATTAAGCTTCTGAGTATAATGGCATACTACTAACATGAAATTAAGCCAATTAAGGAGGCAATAAATGCGATTCATTAAGGTTTTAAAGGTCCCTCTCCTCAATTTCCCTACATAAACCCAAGCCCATCAGGTCAAGGAATTCTCAACCTGCACATCAGCTCCTTTTGTTGCCATTCATCCCCCCTTAGCTTTCCTATTGGGGGCTGACAGATAATCAATCCCCTCAATTTTGAAATTCTCTCCTTAGTTTCTTTAAACTGAATTCTATTCTTTTCCCACCTTCCCAACTGCTGTTTACTCTGCCTCCCCACACCCATTATTGCAGCTTTGCCCAGGTGGTACACTCAGCCCTTTTCTTTTCTGCTTTTTCTTTATTCCATGGTTTCAACTACCATTTACACAAAGATGATTCCCCGAATTCACATACTCAGGCTAGCACCTAACTCTCCCACCAGACTGCTGAATATTTTCATCGGGATAAAGTCCTGCTTCACCTGACATGACCACTATGGCCTTTTCCTTCTCTGCTTTTATTCAGTCAGGTTGTCAGACCTTGTCCACTCTTTGTCCACAACTTCCCAGGAATCTGTCCCTTTCTTTTTATTCCCACTGTCATCATTTACTCTCAGCTTACTATTACCTGATCCCAGGGGGACAAAAATAACCTCTCAACTGGCTTTTCACTCCTCTCTGCCATGCCTACAACAAATGACTAAGAATCTTACTACAAGTAAGGGCTGGTGCGATGTACTGAGACAGACTAAAACTTCCCAAGCACTGCTTTGATCACAGCACTCCCGATTAGAAAGTTCCAGCAATTCCAATATTCAGTGTACCCTAAAAAACTTATGCAAGCTCCATAACAGACTTACTTGTGATTATTCCCATCATTGTACATTCTATTTCCTAACAGATGCTATGACCCAAATGGAGGGTGTTTCCTCACCTTATTTTGACTTAGGTGATCGGTAACTGTTCAACAGCTTTCACTGGTTAATGTTTCTTCTGTTTTGTCACTATAAAAACTCAGTCAGGAAAAACCATATTTTGTACTTCCAAACAGAGGTGACTGTACTTCAACTTTGTAACCTCTGTGGGGTTCGAAGTAATTCCTCTGACAATCAGAATGAAATCAATGTTCTCAAATTTATTGATCCACGTTCATTGTGTAACATTCCGCATATATCATAAGGTATAACTTATCTCTTTGGATCACACTTTTATTTTGTAGTGAATTAAAAAAATGCTTTAATAGCTTTTGTAGAGATTGTGAACAAATCCTATTCTTAAGTTTCCTCTAAAGAAGCATTCTGCCTTTAGTTGCAGGTGTAATAGAGTGGAGTGTTTGAAGCACTTGATGTGATCAAAGGATGAAGACAGTGTTTTGACATAGTATGAAGTGAAGATTAATTTAGACTACATTGTACCTGAAATAAACTAAATAAAACTGTCAGGGGAAAACTTTTTAAAAGGGTAATTTCTGGCAAATGCAGTACATGATGGAGAAAGGTTGGTATTATCTTATTGAACTCCTTAATGAGCAATATGTCTCCCTGTATTAGAAAACCTTTCTCATAATGCATTAGAATTATAGGGTGTTTTTTTTTTTTTAGATTAAAGCATTCTCGCTTTCAGTTACTTCATTCAAGCTAATAAGTACTTTCCTTAGTTTTCTAGTAACTAGTTGTAAAAATCATGTATTGCAACATTTACAGTTTTTAAACTTTTAAATATTCTTAAACTATGAAACTTCTTTAAATCACTGTCTTGCCAGATCACAAACATTGTAATGTGACTAATACTGACCCTACTCTTGCCCTCACCTACATAAACAACACAGGCTGCTTATTATTGTTTTTCCTAAATACATTACTTTGAGTCTATATGGTTCTACAAACTCAGTGCTGACATTAACAATGTTCTCTGCACATCTTGAATACCTGCAAGAATATAATCTCAAGCTTTTCAACAACTATAAAATTTTTAAATTGAAAACTGCAGAGCCCTGGCCAAGTAGCTCAGTTGGTTAGGGCATCATCCCTATACATCAAGGGCACATACAAGCAAATGAGTAGAACAAATCGATGTCTGTGTGTGTCTCTCTCTTTCAAATCAATAAAATAAAAAGAAAACTGCAAAATTATGGAGTGTTTATACATTGATCTTTTGCTAATACAGTTTTGTTTTATACCTATAACAATAAATCCTTTAATCATTTAAAAGAAATAACAGACTGGACAAAGTAGGGGGCTGGACTGCAGTACACCTGCTTCTTACATGACCAACAACGGGCATGCTCCACTGAGTATCAGCTCCACTGAGTATCGGCGGCATTCATCCCATGATCATTCTCTGGAGCAAAGTCAGGGAGACAGCTAATCTACACATCCATAGATACATACATAAATCCAAACCTGCCTTTTTCAGGCATTTGGTGAAACAGTAATATACTACTAAATAATAACCTAAAAGGGGGTGGGGGGACACAAATATACATACTCGGAAATGAAAAAAATGGATACAGGAAAAATTAAAATCTGGTAAGAAAATAGTCCATAATTCTATGCTAGCGCATTGAGGGAAAATGTA